TTGCCTTTCAAACTACCGTTGTTTGTCCTTGTTGGGTTGCCTTAACGCTACGTTAGATGGAGTGCTAACCTAGCCCGCACGTTAGCTTACCTGACGTGTTTTGCTCAGGTTTATCGTTATGTTACGCTGCTGATAGGTCGGATAACGTTGCACTCATCACAGATCCTGAGCCATGGTGAAAGAACGGGCCCAGAAGAAGTCCTTCCAGCAGAGTCTGGAGGACATAAAGGAGAAGATGAAGGAGAAGAGGAACAAACGGTTGGCCAGTGCCTCAGCTCCCAGCAGAGGACGGCCCAGAACCATAAACAAAAGCAGTGGTAAGGACAACAATCACATCACATCTATTTATTATAAGTACATACATAATGTAGACTTGAGTGATGTACTTGCAACCATGACATGGACAGATGCTGATGTTTAGAACATATTGATATGAATATTAAGTTTAGTCATGAACAGCAAATAACATCCTTCGCATGTTCTGTTGTCTCCCAGTGGCTAACTCCACCCACACCGTCCTGAAGGGTGTCCAGCAGAACAACAAGACACTGGCCGTAGCCTTGCAAGCTGAGAAGGAAAAAGTGAGGCAGGCCAACGCAGTGATCCTGCAGCTGAAGAGGGAGCAACAGGCCCTGTTCCTTCACCTGCTTCTGCTCAAGAGGAAGCTCAAAGAGCAGGAAGCTCTGGCTGCGAGCGCTTCAGAGGTTACTTCACATTTACACTTCTGTGTGTCTAACTAATCCTGGGTAACATGTAACATTAAATTATTTTGAAGTACTGTGTGTCAATGTAAAAGAAACATATTTTATTTCTTTGTGTGTTGATTTAGACTAAACCTCCAAACACGCACGTTGAACGCCAACATCATGCGGATTCAGCAAGGTAACGGTTTGAAACAAAAATTCATCACATAAAATTGTATATCCTTTTATGACCATCAGGATCTATTTATCAATTTACAGGAGAAAGCAGACCAGCCAGAACCTTGATGACCCTGTCGTGTGCAAAGCCTCACCAATTTGTGCAGGTACACGCGCCATCTTGTTATTTGATGAGCATTATGAGAAGAATTCTTTGACTGATCCGCAGAACAAATTTAAATATAGGCGGTTCTTCGGGTTCCCTAGTTGACTAATTTGTCAAAGAAAGGAGAAGAAATGACATTGCACATTATTACAGTGTGCTTACTTGTCACAAACTGTCTAATAATGATGTTGATTTTGTCCTCTTCTTCACAGACCCTCAGCCCACTGAAAAGAATTTGCATTCTGAATGTGGCAAGGTGGGTACTTTGCCTCCCACAGTGGGCGTGAGGCGTCGCCATGCAGATAGAAGAAGCAGGAGGAGGTCTGAGCGCGTGCGAGAGAAGGGGTCATTGAGTGAGGGCGACCCCAATGCAGGCTTGGGTGCTTTAATAGCAAGTCCTATTTGCGGTGATGATGGAAATCCGAATCAGCCACAGCAGGGTGCAGAACCAGATTTAGCAGACCCCGTTGACACTGTAGAGTTTCAGCATTCAACTCCTGAACCTCTCCCACCCAAAAAACCCAACCAACAGCGGCCCAGCAGGAAACAAGCCCAGCAGCAGCCCCGCACCAAACCAGAACCGGCTGCACGAAAACCAGAGAGAGGACGCAAACAAGAGCGTGCCCCATTAAAGAAACCATGGGAGAATCCCAAACCCAGAGCCCGCTCCAAGAGTCGGGACCGGTCAGCCACACGAGCTAAAACGGCACCTCCATCCCAGGGGAATAAGCTCAACACCTCCCTGGGATTTAATGACACATTTGACTTTGACTGTGAAGAGGCGGTTCACGTCACGCCATTCAGGGCCAAGGCGGAGGACAATCAGCCGGCCACGACCATCAGCAAAGAGACTCCACATAGAGGCCAAACTGAAGCTTTACCTGTAAATTCCAAACAAAACAATTCCTGCTCATCATCACCGTCTTCTGAATCAGAGGACAGCCTTTATGTCCCTCAGAAGACCAGACGGAGACAGACTTCCCCCGACAAGACCAAAGTGATCACTCGTAGAGGCCGGCCCTCTAAAGTCGCCAGGCAGAAAGAAAACATCCCTCCAAATCAGGAGGTCTCCGGTGAGCTTTTAGGTTTGTTGTTCTTAACTTGAACTTGTTTAACTTTGGGTTATTCTCTTTATTAGAGTTTAAATAGTTGTTCTTATAATATCTCTCACTTTTTTTGCGTTTTATAGTCTTCAGAGATGAGGAGTCGAGTCCTAAGGCTGTAGAGCCAGAAAAGGAAGAAGCTTATCCTCATCAGTCCCCTGACTCTAGCTTCTCCAACAGCCCTGATCCGGTGAGGTTGGGACAGGAAAATCACCAAGGTGAGTAAATGTTCAGGAACGTGTTGACATTATTTCTATTGCTCAGGGTCTAATGTCACAGGGGAGACGGGGGAGGAAAAACATGGTGCTGATATGCATTCATAGTGTATGTTCATGCCATTCTCATAGGATGTTTAATTTTAAGCAAGTTGAGTATTTTCTGGATTTCTTAAAGCTACATCTTGAAGGTGTTAATTACTAACTATTAATAATGATATGACACAAAAGGGGTGATAAAATGAAGTACTTGCCTTCAATCAGTATGATTGAATGAATGAATGAATGATTTTATGTGACCTAGAACAAAGACGTCTGGGTTAATCATGTACAAAATTGAAGAATGGCTCTTTTTTTTTTTTTATGTCTGTTTTTTACTAATGGTAGTTTGTGAATTAAATATTTTATTTTTTTTGTTGTTCTGGTTTTACAGAGCCTCATGGAGGGGTTATTGAGAAGGATTGTTTGCCCCCTGTCAGCCCTCTGGTTGAAGCTGAGATGATGAGAATAGACAACGTCCTGTCCAATTTTGGAGATTCCTCCGGAGAAGCTCCTGCTCTTGTACCCCACCAAACGCCCCAGAGGGTCAGGACGTGCAAGAAACGTAAGTTTGTCTCCAGCGTTTCAAAATAAAAATCTCACAGTATGACTCCTCATTGACCAAGAGCTTTACAACATCAGTGAGCACTTGGGAGGCTTTGTCAGATCACATTTTCATTGTATTGTCACTTCTCTTTGGCTTCATTGCACTCTGTTTTGAGATGCTCACTGGTGTACGCCCACAACTCCTGTTTTCTTTCTTCTTGCTTCTGGATCACATCTTCCTTCACGTTTCTACAGGTGGGCTTGGTGTAAGGACAGCGGGGCGGGGCTTGAGTCTGTGTGATGTGACCAATCTGTCCCCTGCAGCCTACCGCAAGTTCTCCTGTGGTGGCTCACGCCCCTCTGATGCCCGATGCTCCACTCCTGTTCCTGCTCGCAAGCGACGCTGCACCATGGTGGTGGACTACAAGGAACCCACGCTAAACGCGTAAGTTCACATGCTCATGTGATTTTAGATTTGTTCACAGGTTTTTTTTCACTGAACGAATGCTCAACAATCACATTCCCATCTTGACAGGAAACTTCGGCGGGGAGACAAGTTCACAGACTTGCAGTTCCTCCGCTCTCCTATTTTCAAGCAGAAGTCCGGCAGGAAGTCTGTGCAGAAATCAAGACAGTCCATCAACAGCCAGCAGACATTCGAGAAATACAACGAGTCATTTGTTGGATGTCGCTGAAAGTAGCTACGTTGTTTGTCCTGTCTGAACCCTGACTGTTGGCTGGCAATGTCTGTTTTCAATGTGATTTTTCTTTTAAGAGTTTTAACAAGTAGTTTAGTTTTTCACTCTGATGTTGTTTATATTAAGTTTTTTTCCATGTGATGAAGAACTGTGATCAGTTTTAGATGTTAATTTTGACTTTGTTCGCTGCTTATTTCTTCTCTCCTCCATTTCTCCTCATTACATAATGTAGTAATGGCTATATTATGAAGATGAGAAGACTTTCAAATTATATATGTCATCATCTTTCTTAAAGTCTTTATGTTTTTTTTATTATGAAATACTGAATATGAGTACATATTATCATCTAATAAATTCCAATTTGTATCTCCTGCTGTGATGTGACAATAAACATTATTTCTTCATTTGCTCTATTTATTCATGCATGGTTAAATAATTGGCTGCGGTAGGATGACAATGAAATACAATTAATGATGAGCTTAATTAGAGGGGAGTTTGTGTTTAGATGTTGGGCTATCAGGATAAACAAAGTGTAGATGGAGCTCAGGTTGTGTCAGGGTGTTCATGTCAGTTTTGAAAAGTTAATTAAAATGAACCTTGGCCAATGCCATTAAAAAAAACTTACAATGTACCATGACTATAATTATTCTGGTGGTATAAGAGTTTCCCCTTATTGGGCTTGAAAGGCCCTTTCAACAACAAATAAAAACAGCACTAAGAAAAACTACAGACAATAAATTAGCCTCACTTCTGTTTTATTCAGTCTATAAAATAGGCTAATTCTATGTCATTAAAACCAATTGTACAAATAGCATGAAATAATTTTTCCAGACATTTTACAAAATGTATTTTTTTCCCTAAAGTTTGAAAAGTACAAACACCTTTTTACAAAACAGCAAAACTACATAGTATTGCACAATCTTTTTCATTTATCTCCAAAGTATAAAGTTATCAATCTCCATCTGCAGGACAAAAATAAGAAAGAATAAATTAAGACCTTGTCTTTAGCATATTTCTTTTAAATTACAGCACATAAATAAGAATAAACTCTAGATAATTGAATTAGTCCTTAGTCAACAGCGGTAATTTATATGTAAAACAAAAGAAGACGCTCTTATTTATGTTAACTAATACTTGGAAAAATAAAAGTGCATTTCAATAGTCAAACTGCCCTATGTGGCTTATTGGAAAAAAAAGAAGATTTTTTTAGTTCTGAAACAGAAAATATATGTTATATACACATTTTAAAATATACATTGGGTATAAGTGCTTTAAAATAATTCAAATCTGTACAAATTTAAAGTACGTACTCCTCTTTTGGCAGGATGAACTCATCACAGACAAACTTTGACCTCATTAATGCCGTGCACGTTCACAGGAACAGAGTTCAATAGACAGGAAAACCCGAACTCTGTCACGTTCCTCACAGGTAACACTTGTGTAATGACTTAATATACTGTAAGTGGCTACTGCTCATGATGACAACTCTACCTGAGTCAACTGAGAAGAATGAGGCAGACACTGAAAAAGGGGGGGGGGGGGTGAAGGTATGAAAAGAAAGGAGAAGAGGTGGCAAGAAGAAGAAGAAGAGACAACGTAAGGTGTGTGGTGAATCTCCAATCAGTCATTCTGGGTCGCTTTAACACAAAGATAATAACGGAAGCTTTCTGTCCTGTTTAATATGTATTACTGTGACACCTTCCACTGTCCTGTTTTTACATGGGACTCTGGGATATGTGATGAAATATGAAGACACGATGCTTCTTTTGCTTCATGTCTGCAACAGTCTTGCAGGCCTTCAACGAGGCCTTCCTCCTTGTGGCCTACCTTTCAGTGTAAATATCAATCTAAGCTATTGATTCAGGATCTGGGCCAGCATGCATCAAACATTAAAAGAGTGCTGATCTGACACCCATTCGCACCTTTTACATTAAGATATGTGTTTCTGAAACCTATCCGCTCCAGAATCAGTAGTCCTATTCTTAACGTCTCCGCGCATACAGCTGTCGTATGCGTTGCCCGTAGCCTAAACCATAACCATTTACAATCTGAGGACATCCTTTGTTAAGGTAAGGAGAGACTTCTTCCTCTCAGCTACTTCTCGATGAGGCCTGCTTCTTTGATCTTAGTGTAGAAGAATTTCTCCAGTAAGTTGGCACACTTGTAGTACTCGCTCTCTGGAGGGTTGTATTCACGACAGTTGGTGAAGATGCGCTGCATGTCAGCCATGAACAACTTGCGTGTCGTGTAGTACCTGCTCTTCAGACGCTCGCTCATTGTCTTAAGGTCTGTGAGGAAAACAAAAAAAAGCAGGATTCTATCCTTTATACTGCGTTTGAACATTTGAGCTCTTCTCTTTATGCACAAACCAAACATTTCATTCTGAATTGATACCACTTGGATAGCACTTATAAACGGCACTGGAATGTGCTTAATGTGATGTGTTGAAGAAAAGTATTTATTCTAAAAGATCTGTAGTGTAAGAGCAAAAAAGTGCAAATGATTTTTGAATGGACTGAAACATTTGGAGCAGTCTGTACAGTCTGTACACACACTGTAGAAAGGTTTATATCCTCTGCTCACTTGTCAGATAACTGTAACCTGAATCAGGCCAGGGGCCAGGATGAAGTGACTGAGGGAGCTGGTAAAAAATGCGAGGGGGCAGTACTTTCATAAAATAATATGTATGGATTTAACAATGCAATTGTTTTAGAAAGGTTAAATAACAACAACATATGGCTACTGTTTCCAAATAAAAGAATACACTTAATCAGAGCACTCACATAAGAATGTATCGCCGACAGAGCGCTACATATATTTTTAATTTATGAACGAAATCAGCAGGAGGCATGTAACAGCTGACTGTCCCTTCACTTCCCTGTTGTTTTCCTTCTGTCTGTAGGTTGAAAAGTTCTGTTTATACCCACGAAAAAGCAAGCAGGTGAAGAAACCAGCTTCAGTACAATGGACAGCGCGGCCTGATAATAACATGTACATCGGTCAGTCATTTTGTTGTTTTTGGTATTTTTCTTTAGAGACATAAAGCTTAAACAAAGGAGGACAAAAAATACAACTGAGGGGGCCCTGTCCCCTTTAGTCCCCTCGTGGCGCCGGGCCTGAACACTGTATACATACCCATGGGGAAGCGAATGACTTGGTAGTACCCAGGTGCCTCTGTTTTCTTCACTGGCTCCATGAAGGGCCAGGCGTTCTGGTGACTCTAAGACATAAAGACCAGTCTGGTAAGAATAAAATGTGTGTAGGTATTACAGATACTGTGCATGTACGTGTGTGTGTTTATCCCACACCTTCACATGTTGGAGGATGGTCTTCAGAGTGCTATACAGTTGATCTGGGTCCTTCAATTCCTTCCTAAGGTACAAAGTAAAGTACAGGACAGTGGAAGTGAATTTAGATGACAGATGCCAGTAGATACTGTTAGCTAGTTTGTGTGTCCACTGTCACAGTATGTCCAGGTCCAACATACATTAAATGAAGACATTAACATGAGTGACTGAGTGAATGAAAATCCACTCTGCTGAGTTTGAATCTTGTACAGTAGTCACACTTACCCTTTGCCCACAGGCTTCCAACCAGTTTCACCTGTTATAACAAAACCAAAATTAATGAATCTCATATATCATACTAAAGACATCCATAAATGTGAGATATTGTAAGAGACAGAGAAACTGCGCACTGACTGTATATGTAATTCAATAGTCAAGGAGTAACGTACGTATGCCAGGAATGCTCTCAATGGGAATCTGCCGAACTCCTTCCTTAAAACAGGAAAGCCCTGGATAGACTTTTCTGATCTGAGCCTGCTTCCTCTCTATCAGCTTCTTGATAATCTGAGGGAGACAAATGAGAATGGGTTAAAAAGATAGTTAGTGCAAGGATAAACCCCGAAAAAGAAGGATTCTAACATTAAATATTCAATTTAAATGCAAAAAGCACACACCTCCTTCTGCTTCTTGATAATAACAGAAAACTCTGTGTAGGGAATGCTGGGGTTGAGCTCGCAGCCCATGAGTGTGGCTCCCTCGTAGTCTTTGATGTAGCCCACATATTTGGCCTTGGGAACCTTGATGTCCTTCGAAAAACCCTGAAGAGGGAGGAGATTTCTGTTTTCTTGCAGCTGCATTTACAGGGCCATGCAACCACTACAAAAATGAGCCCACTTTATTTTTAAAAAAATAAATTTTCATTATGAGACTTTTAAGACCACGTACAAATGAAAAATAAAAGTAAGTAAGAAGACTGGTAAAAATGCTGACAAGAAGTAGTAATTCCATTTGATTTGAGGAAAATTTTTGACATGTATAGAATAGTATAAGAATATTGCATCATGCCACCAAAGTAACCATAAGGCATGTACTGTGCTTTAATCGACATAACACGTTACCTGTTTCTTGAAGTAGCCAATGGCGTACTCATCAGCATAAGTGAGGAAGTTGAGGATTTCATGTTTTATGTGATATTCCTTCAAGTGGTTCATTAAATGTGTCCCGTAGCCCTACAACCGCACAATGACGAAAAAAATTAAAACTCAGAACTGAACAATCACATAGTACGAACCAAGCTGAGAATCAGAAGCGTTCTCACCTTGACCTGTTCGTTGGAGGTGACAGCACAGAAGACGATCTCTGTAAAGCCCTGCGATGGAAACATCCGAAAGCAGATCCCTCCGATTACACGGCCATCCTTGATCAGTGACAGTGTCTTGTGCTTCCTGCCAAACAAAGAGATAAACTGTGGTCAGGATGTAATTCCTCCACTATATCTCTAAATAAAAAAAAAAGGTGAAGGTTACACTGACGGATCAAAAACCAGCCGTGTGATGTACTCCTTGGGCATGCGGGGCAGCTGGTGGGAGAACACATTCTGGAGGCCGACGAGCCACATCAGGATCCTCTTATTGGGCTTCTGGTTTAGCGAGTTACCGATGACGTGGAATTCAATCACCCCTCTTCGCTCCTCTAGACGGGCGGCTTCATCGCGTGCAGAGTGAGCTGACAGCAGACTGGTCTGCACAGGGAGGAAGGCATAAAATAATGAGTATCACCTTTGGTCCTTCTCACTGTCCCAATCAGAAGAAAATTGCTTTACAGAAGTCGGCTGCACATCGCCATTACTGAAATTAAAGTAACTCTATGAAACATTGGCAGGAGTTAGATATTCAAATGTAGTCAATTAAATGTCATCTCTTGCCAAATAAAGGACATTATTTCCTCTATAAACTTTATATGGCTTTCTCAAACTAGCACAAAAAGATGATTTAAAGCAGTACTGTGTTTTTTAAGCTAAAAATCTGTTTGATGTCAATAAATGTGAATGTTTTCTAAACAAGAATCTAAATGTAAATCAATGAGACAAAGCTAATGTTATTTCTGCTGTCTACCTTTTAATGTGTAACAGTATTTTACTTTATGCTAATGGAGATCCAAGTAAAAGAATAAAGAATAACTGGTCACCTCTGGAATGGCGGCAGGGTCCGTGATGGTTGCCATGACTTCATTGATGAGGTCCATGGGGATGTCACCCACCACCCTGGGTCTCTTGTTTTCCTCATAAGGGAGAGGCTCAGAGGGTTTGCGCTTTTCACCAACTACAATACACGGACATAGAGGAAAGTACTCATCTTCATTACATGTCTCTTTTACACCTTCTCACCAGTTGAGCAGTGTTTCAAAAGTGTTTCAAAGTCATCCAGCAGTTAAGGTCAGCTTACAAATAGTCTCATCTCCAATTGATGCCTATGCAACTGACTTATTTTCAGTATGTCAGGAGCAGCAGAGGTGTATTTCACTTCTCTTTCTTGATACAGTTTTAAGGCCAAAATTTAAATAAGTATTTGAGGAAACAGGTTAGTTGCACTTTTTTAGACCTTCAATTTGAAAACAAGACTCTCTCTGAGGCAATGGGCGGACTTAAAGTAGTCAGATAGAGACTGTGACATGGTTTAAATGTGAAACACATGGCTAACTTTACCCTGGTGCTCACTGTTTACTGTCAGAGGTCAGATGTTATGTAATAGGGTGTTATCGTTGTAATCGTATGAGTAATTACAGGTGTGACTGTAATACCTGGGTTTGGCTCCAGCACAGAAGCTGTTTTCCTTGCAGGACTGACGCTCCCACAGGTGGAAGGGTCTACCGACACAGGACTGGTGCTGTAGTACAATGGCCTGGCCACAGGGGGCGCACTGATAACTACAGACCAACAAAGAGGACATTAATACTGTAAGAACATGTTGTTATCCTTACATTGTATAAACATGGTTTTAAAAAAAAAACAGGAGTTGATTTGAAGGGTGTGTTTGCGAGGGTGTGTATAACCTGTGTGGATAGGGATCTGCCCTCCTGACGCTCCTGCCAAGAAGTCTTGGCTCCAGATTGGGGAACTATGGCTGTACACCTCCTCCTCCAGCATAGACAAGAACCTGAGCCAAAGAAAACAGTCACAACTTGTTAAAAAGGGTGTCAAACATGCATATATGGTTATATATGGTGATACTGAGAGTGTGTATGCTGCATGTTGTAGTGTAGGAGTGAGTCTCTGCTTGTGTGGTTAATTATATGTTAGTGTACTTAAGTCTGTGGTATATTTGTGTGTGTGCAATCTCAGACTTCTGTGCGTTTGTTTTTTTTTACTTGGGGAAATGTGTGAGGATGAGTGTGCGTTTCTCAGGTGGCAGCTTGTCCTTTTCCTGTCTGGCCTGCTCCAGCAGTTGTTTCCTCATCACAGTGAACACCGAACGCAACAGCGTCCGGCCGAAGATCTGAGTGGTCTCGTACCGGGGCAGACTGTCGCAGAACTGAGGCACATTGCAGTAGCAGAGCCACCTATAGCAGCACAGACATGACTTGGTTTAGACACTGCGCCTGTTAAACAGGTGTGATGGATGTTAACACCTGGCAGCGCTGCTACCTGGTGTAGTTGGCTTTGTATCCAGCTGCATCATCGTTGGGAACCCTCTGGCGTCTCTGGGAGGGCGTCTCCAGCTGCCAGTAGTTGATCTGGTTGAGAAACATCTTGGCCAGCTCCATTATGGTTTGACGTTCCTTAGATGGGAGGTGGCTGAATTTATACTGGACAAAATTGTTCACCCCCTGTTTAGGAAAGAGAAAATAAATAAATGGGAATGTGCACACTCTAAAACACTCATTTGTGTTGCAGTTGATGCACGTGTGATTACCTGCTCGATGCTGGGTTTTTCAAATGGAGGACTCTCCTGTGCTTCCAACATCGGTTTACCCATCTGTAGGATGGATTTCCTCAAGAGCTACAAAATAAAGCAGGAAAGGGGTGCGTTCACTTGCACACAATGCGGATTGTAAGATCTTGTGTTTGTATACTTTGACTGTAAAAGCAGAGGCTTACTTTGAAGAGGGAAAAGTAGACCTGTTTCGTATCAGCATCCTCCTCTTTGTGAACACACGTGTAGAGATACTCCACATCCAGGACGATACCTAAAAGTCTGTTCATTTCCTCCTCGGAAACGTTTTCTAGATGGGTCACATGATCACCTGAGGAGAAAAGAATAAACACTGAAATGGTTGTAACACAGACGTTAAATCTTCTGTCATTATTATAAACGTAAAGGTTCTTCATTCATCAGTGGCACCACATGCAGCATACTCTGTAGCGTTTAGGATCGTTGACTTGCTGACGTACCCAGGGTGTGAGAGCAGCTCCGGCAGGGCTCCTGCAGGTTGACTGCGCCGGACTGCTGGTCAGTTCGTGGGGGGGTAGGAGGGGGGTTCTGACTTTTCCAGCCATTACACTTGCAGGCGCCCTCGGCCTAGGACAGAACAAAGTTTAAATGAGTACAAGCAGGAATATAGATGCAGGTAAGTGCACCTTGTATCTAATTAGTTTTTAATTTGTGCATCACAGACTCATACTCAGCAATAAACTGATGAAGGTTTATGTATCTTTTAAGATAACATAAATGAATTGCTGTCTGAGTATGAATTTATGTAAAGTTTCTTATGGTGCTTCAGAACTGACAGGTGGAGTTACTGTTATCAGTCATTGGTATAATGTATCTGCTTTATAATCACATCAGTGGCAGAGAAAGTAAACGACCGGTTGGCTCGTTTTATTAATAATGTATTCTTTTATTACACAGTAAATGGGCCGTAGAAGCATACATACATTTTAAAACGTGACAATACCGCTCAGGTTAATGGAGATTTTGTTCTGACTGACTTTGGACAGTATCAGTAGGTGGGGTGAAGGAGGCCTGTCACCGTCAGCTGGAGCTGCCGAACTGAGCATGCGCCTTGAAACAACAACAAACTCCGCCCCTCCAGCAGCTGTCACCCTGTCAAAACAAAGACCCCGTCCCTCTCTGCGGATGATACACTGCAGAAACCCAATAAAACCCTCTCTATGTCCCCGTGCATTGACGGAGGCGCGGGGACACGGTAACATTTCCAGTGAAAATCGTTAGACAGCGCACGAACACACACACACACACATACAGTGGGATGAAGCCCCTGTGCACACAGCCAGCTACTCCCAAGTGCCAGCGCCAAGCCAATGTTTACGTTCACCAACCCCCCACCGAGACAGAAACGCTGTAACACTGCACAAACAGCTTGCAGCTGGAGGGCCAACGCTTTACGTCCTGCAGTAATAATGACGCTCTAACTAACTACACTATTCACGTCGCTTTTTTTAATAATTGGTTGGTGCATGCAAAATGGAAAAAAAATGAAGTGCGGCAATGGCTTCCTTTGCTGCGCTTGCATTTTGTAAACTATTGCAACCGAGCCCAGGAAATACCATCGGTAAAGAGCGAGCCCTCGAAAGCAGCGGCTTGAAAAAGTCAGCAATCTGCAAAAACATCATACTTTGCAGGATGAATACACTCCGAGTTTTTCCAGTTTCTTTGGCCGAGGTGAGGAGCGGAGTTGCGCCTTCTTCACGGCGATACGTGCGGATCCTCCAGCGGCGCCGGAGCCCTCCGTCCCCCCGGCTCCAGGAGCGGCCGGAACCAAGCCCGCCGCCCCGATGGCCGGCGAACCTTGCTGAATCCCAGCGCTGTCGGCCATGATTCACACCGAACCCCCAACGGGACCCCCGGCCCGGGAAATATTCGCTGTGCCGTCCGCTGCTCTATTCCACAAGCGGAGGATCAGACATGGCGCTCATCCTTATTTTCAATTTCTCATTGTAGGCCCATTTTCCTCCGCTAGGGGACTCAAATGGGATAGGCCAATTCCACTACTATTCAGAGAGGAGAGGTCACAAAATGCAAGCATTTGTAGCAAAAAAAAAAAAAATATCTCAAGGTCAAATGTAATAGAAAAAAATCCGGCTTTCTATGTGTGAGCCATGTGTGAGCCTACCGGTGGATCATTGTCATTTCATGCAACATACAGGAGATTAGTAGAATACCAGTAACTAATATTGAATAGATTATATTAAAATGAATGCTAAAAATATAGGAAGCCATTTTTTTTTGTTAATAAAGAACAATTTGTTAAAATCCTTCAGTGAAAGAATGTCTGGAATTTAATCGAATGTATACATTTGGAGAACAACTTTAAGGTTAAAGGTCAGAGATAACCCACATTTTTTAACCAATTCAATGTCAAGTTGAGCAGTAAGAAGGAGTAATACTAAGTCAGAACCTATAATAACCAAAAATTACAGAAAAACTGTTGATCATCTGCGGGAATACACACACATACACACACTCACACACACACAGAAATTACAAAAATAAAATAAATGATCAAATTTATTTCAGTATTTATTTGGTCATTACATAACAGTACTGTAAAATGCTTGCATTTAAATGTTTTCGGCTGCAGTTAAGTGTTCACGGCAAAAAAAACCAAACATACAATTTACATCCTTATTATGTGTTAATTCATTTATTCATGAATCACCATCGTGCCAGCTGATAGTTGTTACACTGTTCCTACAATATCTTCACAATGTTACTGAGATGTTATGGAGGGACAGACTGTTGGTTAATCAAAGTGTGTGTATTGTGTCTGACTCCTCTGGAGCTTTTTACAACCAGTGTCTCTGGAAATTCAGGTCTACTTACAGGGAGGAGTACTGGACAAGGCATCGTAGCCTGATACCACAAAAAAAAAAAAGAATTAGTGAAATGCAAGAAAGAGATGTTAAAAAATAGAAACCAAAATGTTTGGGTATTACTTTGTTTTTCTTTTGACAAAAAGGTACAAGACAGAAGACTAAATAAATGCAATTTCATTTTTTTTGTTAATAACACTACATACATTTATAAAGACCACCACTGATTATAATTTAACCATTTGTGTGAAAAAAAAAGGAACAGCAACAAAACTCCAAACCCAGATTGTAGCTGTTGTATCTGCTAACTGTACAGTTCTTTTTATGATTATCTAGACAACTCCCTAGCAAGCGTTAGTCCTGTCACTGGTAAATTGAAAAAAAGGTAGACTACACTGCAACACCCTATTTACAGTATATTATTTATATATTTATATTTATATATATATATTTATATCACACTGGCTGTAATTATGACAAGATATATTCATGAGCATCATTAGTGCAAGGCATGAGTAAGACAGATCTGTAAAAAGAGTTATTGACCATATGTACTGTATGTGTGTGTGTGTGTGTGTGTGTCACTGCATGTAACAATGTTAAGTGGTGGGATGGGAAAAAGGTGTAACAGACTGTGTGTTTATGTACAATGATGTTTAGGTCTGAGAGGGTTCAGAGGGGGAAAAAGTCAATGCAATGTATGGGTTCATGTGCAAATGTGTGTGTTCATGTGCAAATGTGTTCAAACACACACGCACGCACATAAATGGGCACGTGTGAGTGAGTCTATGGATGAAATCTGTCATCAGCCAGCCAGCCAGCCCGCAATCAAGAGAAGATGACAAATAATTATGATTCAAAAGGTGATTATGAAGCAGCCTTACATATTGCAACTCCCAACTCACTACCATCACTGCTGCTTTTCCATCAGGTGCAAACCCAGCAATGGTCTCGTAACATTAACGCAATGGGAAACGTCATCTGCATCAACTAAATCCTCCAAAGACATAAACCATGAGGCCCAAGTATGACCACAAAGGGGTGGTCTATACAAGGTTAATGAAAGGACACTGCATCAGGAGATGGAGAGGTGGTGACACTTGTGTGTACCTCAGAGGCGCCTTGTTGTGGAGAAAGCTGGGTGGAACGGGGTTTTTTGCTGTGCTGCATTGGTCCTTGCAGACACTTAGGTCACAGAGTAAATACTGTGAAACATTGCACAATGCCACTAGGGACAGCTAGAAGCAGGCATGGCCCCACAATGGAGCCTTAGGGTGGTAGAAGAGAATGTACACTAGTGCTACTCTGGGTTTCGTGGAGGAAAGGACATGGACAGCATGGGCAAGCAGAGGGAATCAGAGAGAGAATCTAAAAGGACTACGGTTCATGAATGTTTTTAAACTTTAAGACAAAAGGAAGAGAGGTGTGGAGCTTAAAGTTACGCTCTTTCGCTCTCTCTCTCTCGCGCTCTCTGCCCTCCGCCGTTCCCCTTTCTCAGATTCACAAGAATACACTCCTCTTCTCCAATAGACATTTTTCTGTGCAACTGCAGACAAAAGGTAAAACATCGTTTTTTGTTTTTCTATTCTAGGCCATGTAAGTATACAAGTATGTGCACCCATAATTTGACAAAATTATAGCAAAGAATAATTAACAAGATTATCAAAAAATTAACAAAAACAAGACTGGTATTAGAAATGCAGTAGTTAGGTCTAAAGCTATCCCAGAAAAAGGGAAGTGACCACTTCCTCTAAATGAAAGTCATATCTACACGTTTGAAGGAAGATGATGGAAGGCAGGGTGCACTAATGTCTCTAGTATCTGCTACCATTAATCTATCAATATTAACTGATAGATGTAACAAGCTGGATGGCAGAAAGTAGGAAAGAATGGTTAGGAGGCTTAACCAGGTAGCAGCAGAGCCGTGAGGGAGGAAATCAGGCAGAGATCTGTGTAATGGCATTGACTTCATTACTGCAAAAAGAAAGAAGGGGGGCATAGGGCATCTTTTCTTGTTTTGCAAATGAGAGAATTGGAGATAAGAGTACAACACATTGCATTAGTAACTGCAGTGGCATTCGGGTTATCAGCCACATTAGTTACTGCTATACAAGTTGGTTGGGGGGGGAAGGCGTTCTTCACGTTAGTTACTGCAGCATGGAGCCTTGGCTGGTTGGGCAGCTTCTGTCAGGTCCACTCCCCGGTTCCGACCACTATTGGGTCCAGGAGCCTGAGGCTCACTCTTCGGCAATCTCTTTGCTGAAGGGAAAACAAAACAAAACAAATTAAACAATAAAAGAAACTGCAACCTTTCATTTGCAGGGTGTAGAACCCAACCTCAACTCCCCCAGTTCAGCAGAATAAACACTCTTTAAACAAATATCTGTAGGATTCAACAATTTGGCTCTGATTACTACTTTACAAATGCACTGTCAAAATCTTTGAATTAAGTGTCAAGATTTACCCACCAATAGCCATAAATATCTCATTCACATTCATAGATGTCTTGGCCGACGTCTCCATGAAAAGTAAGCTGTTGTCATCTGCGTAGGACTGGGCATCCTGTCAACAAAATTACCATACGTTGTTTAATATGTCCCCACACATGCGTTCACTCAGGGACAAGAAAAGACAATTAGATGCGCAAGTCTTGGCAGTAAAGACTAATAGAATGATCACTTGTAATGCATGTTGTGGATGTAATCACATAAAACAAAGCCACAGCAATAACCAATCGAAGCAGGAGATCAGTATACCTAGAGATATGCAAAAAGAGTGATGGTAAAGCCACAGTTTGTTTGCTCTAACCTGAAAGTCGACAGCTCTCTTGCTGGCTAGGTCAGCCTTGTTGCCTGACAGAGCAATGACTATATTAGGGCTAGCTTGTCTTTGCAGCTCCTTCACCCAGTTCTTTGCCCGTGCAAAAGACTCCTGCAAATAGAAGAAAATAGTGAGTCAATACCTTCATGTAACCAGTAACTTAAGAAGATATTTCCCTTCAAAGTCAGACATTTTCATATAGCCCACCAGCTGAATTTATACTACAACTTGCTGTACAAGGGAATCTGACTGCATCTTGAGGACATGGCAAGTATCATCTGTACAACTTAAATAAAGAGAGTAATGTTGGGAAAACTGTATGAACAACTTAGTCTGGGGTGAATGAACGTGCCTCGTTTGTGATGTCGTAGACCACAATGGCGGCCTGTGCTCCTCTGTAATACATGGGGGCCAAACTGTGGTAACGCTCCTGACCTGCAGTGTCCCAGATTTCAAATTTCACTGTTGTGTCATCTAGACACACTGTCTGGGTGAGAAAGGCCGCTGAAAGGAAAGGATGAGGTGAGGGGTGAGTCAGCTTCAGAAAATCAATATCTACACCAAAACAATGCACTTTACAATGCCATGTAAACAAAACAGGTAATAAATATATCCAAACAAAGCATTATCAATGTTTCTATTATGTGAGACAAACTGTAGCCCCCATTGTAGAATTAAATTAAAGTGGAAAAGAGACAGATGTTTCTGATTTTGTAACTCTATTCAAGTTCCACTTTATAAATGTGGCAATGATACTGACTACAAAATAAAATGGTTAACTTCTGCAAATTATTTTTACTGGAGCTTTAGAACATTTATTTTAAGGTGCTGTTGTGACAATAACAAAAGGAGCCAATTGTCTGAAAGGAGGTCCACCTGTCCTGAATCTCACATAATTTAGTAACAAAGGAAAAATCCGACAAGCACAGACACAAGTATACCCATTTGATCTATAAGCGACTGGCAGCTCATGAGAAATAGCCTGGTCTATTGACGCGAAGCTCACCTCCTATTGTGCTCTCCTGGAATTCGTGGAACTGACCCTTGACGAAGCGGAGCACTAAGCTGGACTTCCCAACGGCTGACTCCCCCAGCAGCACCAGCTTAAACTGACAGATCTTGTTCCCTGCATTGGGTCCATTGGGTCTCGTAGCTCCTCCCCGATTGGCCATGACCTAGTCAGATCCCCTGGTGTCCTGTGTGCCTCACTATCAGGACTTGTGCTGCAAGAAGCAAGAGAAGAAATAGGTACTATTACTACTACTCAGGACTATGAGCAAGTAATTAACATGTGTTAAACTTTGCTCAGGATAAACGTAACAAAACATATCTGGTTAGAGTGAAATATATTCTAGCATTTTCACAAGTGTTTCTCAAACACTGACAAAATTCAAGCGTGATAACAAAATACTAACGACAACAGTGTCTACAGCTGACACTTTGTTTTAGAGCTGTCAGCAGTTACTTAAATAAGCATTTTTTCCCCTTTGTTTTGATATATTGAGGGACTCTACACGGCTCAAAATAGAACAAAATATTTGGTTTCCGACATGACACACACACACACAAATAAAACCTACTGACTGTTCAGTATATCCTTTTATGTGGACAGTTTATGGTGGTTTGAGTAATGACTTAGGGACTTCATCTGCCAAAAGATCAGGTGTATACAATGCATAAAAATAAACTTCTAACACTGGGAAAAAAAAGTGGCAAGACTTCCGTTTAAGTGAAGAGGGTGCAGACTATGTCACTGTGCAAAACACAAGCCGTGACCTGGACTGGGTTGTCTTAATGAACATGTGATATTGGGCATTTCTAGAATACTGAAGAATATTGGGAGAAGACAATGGAACGTACATATAAACATTGGCCTTAATGATGCAGCTCAACAAGACTAAACAAGAATATAATAATAAATATAGCACGCGTGGTGTATCAAAAAGAACATTACACAGCAACTTTACTATAGTTAGAGACACCTTCTATTCTCTGACAATGCCAATCGACTTAACTCAAAACAGAGCCAGTGTGAAATGCTTATTAATGCATTTCACACCCTTCGGCCCAGTAGTATCACACTTCTTTTTATGCACAAGTTTTTCAGAGGCCACACAGTTTTTGTAACACCCTTCTAGCTACACTTTCCCACAGCAAAAGGAGACAAATGTGTGTAAAGTTATTGTATATATTATTTCACCTCTGAAATAATATTAAATAAGTTTACATTAAAATGATGTATTGGATACATTTAAATATTAATAAAATAAGGTTTCCTTTACTTTCTGTTTATTTATTTATATATTTATTTGAATTAATATAGTATTTTGAAGTAATTTAAGTAACTCCATGTTGAAAGTACCTGAAACATTTAAAGTTTATGCTTAAATATAATTGTGTAATCACTGACGCAGTTTTTCCACAGTTGTGGAACAGTGCCTATATGAATGAGGCAATGAGATCCCACCACATCATTACAGTAACAGCCAGCAAAGAAACCCTTGTCAAGAACCACAACAGTTTCAAGAGTTTTCACCCGCCCACATTACTTGAGCGTGTTACAACTGCGAGAACCTCTGTATGGGTACATGCCATGCATTCACGCATTTCTTAGTAACCTATTTAGGATCGAACTGCTGACTAATTTGTATACAACAGATGGCAGTTGTCAGGAGATAACCGCAGTCTGTCCTGAGCATGATTTGTGGAATCCTATCCCTAACCACAAAAAATGACTATTAGGAATTTCACTGTGCACCCCCAACCAACTCCCTTATCCAGGAGACAGATAATATGCCTACTGAAAACAAAATACAGATACCGTATCATCCTCACTATGATCAGCTCTCTAAGGCAATAAAGTACAATGGCTCTGCAAAAAAGCAAACTATTTAAAGCATACCAGTCACATTTTTACTGATCCTGGTGCTGATGGCTGATGTTGCTGTACTGTATTATATTATAAAAGGCTTTTGTATGAACCTGTATTGGAAAGTACAAATGCTTATTACTGTAGTTGTATCTATATATTCAAGACAGGTCTAATCACCTGTAGTGTGGTGTCAGTCTGTCAGGTGCTGGCTTCATGACTGCAGACTGCTGTCAGTCATCAAACATCAACTCAACAACATATAATCTCTGGATCGCATATGAAGAGTACAATCTCTACATAGCTTTAGTTTCAAAAGTCTAGAAATAGGACAACTAAAGCAAATGTATGTTATATATTTTTGTATATTATATAAATATAACTGTGCGTAAAACTTTAATTTCTGTTGCAACACCACAGGCTCTGCTGAATTAATGTCTAAATACATTTACTAAATCCATTCATACACCTGTCTGATTACTTTCCTAATATAAAAACACATCAGGGAATGGTGAAGGACGCTGTGCTTTTAAATAAAAAACAAAACTTGGGACACCAAAGCCTGTGAAAGTGAGTGGTGAGGCTGTTACCGATGTAGTTAGATCAGGCGTTTATCCTTTACTTTAATCCAAAAAAAAGGACAAGAAATGTTTTAAATAGAAACAAGCGAGATGAAAACAAATCCGCAAAAGAAACTGCGTTTACTCAGACTCATGACAGGGACCGTCAACAAGCGCCGCGCACCGCAATGCTCACAAAACAGTCTGTAGTTGACTGTAAACACACTTGCTCATGTCAGCTGTAGTATGAATCTGTTCAGATTTTAGAGGGGGACGCCATTTTCCAAATTGTTTTTGTTGTCTAGCTAGTTAGCTTTCTTTCTTTCTTTCTTTCTTTCTTTGAGCCAACCTTAGCTGTCTAACTGGCCACTGACGTTAGCCTCCCAAACACTGCAAGGAGAGCAGACAAAAACAGGCTCAGCTAGCGTTACATAAAACACAAGTATCCTTACGAGGGGTTAACAAGCTGGTCGTTGTATGGCTGGATGGCGTTATCAAACTCAAATGCTGTGCTGGCTGGCTAATGTTATTTAATGGGGAGTAAACCAACCCCTCAGTTAACAAACACCAACGTTAGCTGGCTAGCACTGTTAGCAGTCCACCCAGTTAGCTGTTAGCTATCACAAAGTCAACTGCAGTCATACTGTCACACAGCTTGCTATACGAGACGCTTGCTGATGGCACCACACCAACAGACTGGACTTGGCAAGACGTGACAAAGGCCTCGTATTTCTGCATTCCCGTAGCTATAAAACATCACCGACATTAGCCGGAGCCAGCTAACGACAGCGCTAGCTAACGTTAGCCAGTCAGCCAGCTGGAAACCACATCGGCTCGATCCATGTCGAGTACGCTACCTGAGAGCCAGACGATGTTTGGGACTTTAAAGACCACCGCTGTAGTATTTACACACGGAACCCGGGACACGGTGGTGGGGTGGTGTTGGGGAACCAAGAAAATAATTTCAACAATCCCGTCACGTCTCCTCCTTTCTTTCTTCTCGCAACTTCCCCTTAGAACCAAAACACAAACAAGCTCTTCCGCCCCCCGCGCCACGTCACACAGCACGTCTGCGCTCCACAAATTACCTTCTCAGCCAATTAGCTATCAATAAAACCAAGAGCTTTTAATGGTGACAGTAATCCATGTGATGATGCTATTCCATCATCTATTTTTTTTTTTACATATTTATGGGAATTTTGTTCGTTACAGTTGTTCCACTCACACGACGTTAAAGAAATAGTACTTATGTGCAATATCAAAGTCAAAGTCAGCTTTAAAGGGACACTTCACCCATTTGCATTAAGCTTTGTATCGTTAGAAACCCAGTCATATTTTTGAATGGTCGTGCACCATTCCCTCATTTTCCCCGACGGGAGAAATACGGATTTAGTGTGGCACTTCTGCTGCTTCCAGTATCCAAAAATGTCGTCATTTTTGCATCACGGAAGTCTCATATCTTTGTAGAGGGGTGAGACACAAACACTCTGTTCATTCCGCGGGGTGTCAAATAGGCACCAAATTCAATATTTATTTTAATTCACTACATATATAACCACTTTCAATAAAGATTAATGTTTCCACGGTGAAATGCTTCTTTAATGTCAATGACTTCACAATTGCACCATAAGGAATCGAGAGGACGTTCTACTCCCCACGGTGAGGACAGAAAAGTGCAGCAGGCACAACAGATAAAACTAACAAGACATTTCCTATACTAAAAAAGTAAACTTACAATGCAATTTCGCAACAGATAGGACATTTACTAATCATCTAATATCTAACACAATATATAGAACAGAAATGAATGTATAGATATATACATATAGTAAAAGTACAAATAAAAATGGAAAATAGAAATAAGAGATATAATAAGATAATAAGAACCTATATACAAAGTAAATGTAAATATATTCCACAGTATTGCTGACAGAAATAAAATAAAATAAAAATAGTAATGAGTTTTAAGATTGCAGAAGTTATAGATAATGACAAAGAATGACATAATAATCAAGTGAATTGCACATTGACCCGGGTATTGCACCTTAATCGACTTATTGCACATTAACATTACTTTTGAATATATTGCCCAGTTATACTGTATATTTTGAACACCATGTGTCCATTAACAGAGGTCAATATTTATGTCAAGATAAGTCAAGTTTTGTTAATGTTATTATAACCATGCAACTGACGTTTAAAGAAATGGTTCTTAACCATCTATTTTTGATATTCATCACATATAGGACTATAGTTTTAGTGTGAATATCAGTTGCTAGCAGTTCAATCAAATCAGTATTTTTCCTTTTCAGTTTGTTTCATTGGATCAGCTGAAGAGGTAAATGTATACATTATTTCACAAGAATAAAAGTGCACAGGTATGTGTCCCCTTAAGGTTCCTGTTTTGGGTTTTGCAAACATTTACCATTAGGTATAGTGGTCTTAGGAAAGTTCTTGGAAAGATATTTTTATAAAACATTTACAAAACCTGTGGGAAATGTTCCCTGAAGGTTCTCAGGAGGTTAAAAGGTTTAACCTCTGACCTTAATTTATCTTATGACTCACTGGCGTGATCAGAACCTAGGTTGATTAAAAAGGAAGAGATAAGAGTGGTTTGATATTTGTAAAATACAAAACACAGGGCATTTCGAAACTGTTCACATAATCTCAGATAAAAAAATTGAGATTACAAAACCAATACAGTTCCCCTTTATCTAATGGATCTCTCACTGGTGAGGAAAGATACGCTCCTACATGAAATGTATCACATTGATCAAATAAATATTTATGCAAATGGAGTGTTATTTGAATGTACACTTATATCATATAATATATTCCTTGCATGTCAATAAATACTTGGCAAAAGACCAGATTCTGGTAACAGCAGTGACAGGACAGAATTGTAATATAATAACAAGCCGAAAGGTGGCGGTATAGCGGCGTTAATGTTGGAGTTGGGCGAAGAAGAACAAAGCTCCGCCCTGCTCCCTCGTCTCTTCCGGATAAGGCCATATCAGCACATTTTATTTATTTATTGTGGAATACATATTTTTATCTCCTGCTTATGTTGTACCATATTTTATAACACGGACACCATTTTACTTTGTTTACCTGTCGGCTGTCAGCTCCATACAGCTCTCAGAGACTGCCATTGAACAAAGTGAGGAATATCCAGCCATGGAGGGGGAGACAGTGGAGACAGCAGAGGAGCAGCTGGCAAAGCAGCACCGCAAGGAAAAGAAAGATATGCAAGGTAGGTGATGACCTGTTCTCACACCTTGGTTGTAGTTTAAATTTAACCTTGGCTATCAGTTTGTTTGCATCTCATGTGTGGTTTTATTCCCTGGAATTGAGCCCAGTGAAGCCACTAGCGAGGCAAGAAGTAGAAAATATTCCACAGGAGACAATTCTGAGCACATTGTTGGACCTACAACTATAATAAAAATCATTTTTAGGTACTTGCCAGTCCATTAATGCAGTGTGTTTTTCCCTAGTGGCTCATGGGGATTGTAGTTTTAGGGGTAAAATTCACACAGAATCACAGAGGGCAGAAAATTGCTGCTGCACTGATCTCTGTGGGTTGAAACTTGTTATCACTGTAGAACCACTCCTATCATTGATGTCAAAATATGTTTATCAAAATTTAATTCAGCAAATTAGGGTTTGAAATTTTAATCAAACTCTATGCCACATTATGTAGGCTATATGTAAACTCATGCAGAGATGTGCAGCAGCAGGTTTCTGCCACATAAATGTTTTCTTTTTTTCTAACCAATACACTTACATTAAGGTGCATTGAGTGTATTTTTCATATTGGTCATCCTGGCTGTCTAATTTATTTTTTAACTCTGTATATAGTGTGTGTGTGGCTTTACTGATGTATTGTTTTGTCCGACAATCTGCTCTTGTGCTTCATTTTCAGCTAAGATCCAGAGCATGAAAAATGCAGTCCCCAAAAATGACAAGAAAAAGAGGAAACAGTTGACGGAGGAGATAGCCAAACTAGAGGCTGACCTCAGCCAGAAACATGAGGAGGAATGTAGGCAACTCCAATCTACAGCTGACTCAAAGGTAAATGTCTGCAGGCAGATATATTATATCCACTAAGATTTGACATTATGAGACTTGGCTGCCTTAAAAAAATGTACCCTTTTCAACACAATGTATCATTTATTGCGCAACAGATATTGTTATTAACACATGTATTGTTTCAAACTCCACACAGATGTATTGCAAATGCACATAGTTTTAGTTAATTAGTTGTAGGTACATTATAAAAGAAGCAAATGCATACTGAGCAAAGTGTGCACAGAATGCATTTTTCCTTTAAGGTGTAAGATTGTATCTCATTATTCGTACACAAAGTCTGTTTATCAGCTAAACGTCATTTTGCAAAATAACTAAAGCTCTCCTCACTCACTCACACAAGTTGGATGAGGTGTTAAATGGAGTGGAGACCATGAAGATGGAGGATGGAGAACAAGAAGATGTCAAACAGCCACGTGTAACCAAGGCCCAGAAGAGAAGGGTGAGACACAAGCTCCACCTCAAATAGGACGAGTTTGTTATTTCCCACAGCGATATAACCGTATATTGATATAGTCATTATACAATGGACGAAGCACATTTCAGTGTTCATCTTTCATCCTATAATCTATATCTATATCTATATCTATGTCTATGATCCTTTTCAGGACAAGAAGGCTGCCCAGGAGAAGGAGAGAGAGAGCAGGATAGCAGAGGCCGAGGTGCAAAACCTGCAGGGTGTGCGGCACCAAGAAGGTCTGATGCTGGCTGAGAAACTGACGCAGCAGCAGCTTCAGATCAAGGAGATCTCTTCTGATGGCCACTGCATGTACCGTGCTGTTGAAGATCAGCTGGCACAGCGATCAAAGGTACATATTGTTGTAGGAGTATTAAAACCTGTAGCTCTAGTTTGGATACCTAATCAGAGATGTGATACAGTACACCGCGTACGCTCTTTGCCACTGAAGTTCATACACAAGAAAGTACATGTTCTATTCTGTTTTATTCTAGCCTGGATTAATCATGAGTGTGAAAGAACTGCGGTCCCGCACTGCTGAGCACATGAGAGGCCATGCCGATGACTTCCTGCCTTTCCTCACCAACCCCAACACTGGTGATATGTACACAACAGGTGACCTTTATGTTCGCTTTGGTTCTTACAAACAATCTGCCATAGGCATATTAATGACCACAGATGGTATACATAGATATTCCATACAACATCATGTTTTGAGAAAGTATTTATGTGCATACACAGGATTCATTTCAAGTGTGTTTGTTGATTTTCAGATGAGTTTGAGAAATACTGCAGCGACGTGGAGCACACAGCAGCTTGGGGTGGACAACTAGAAGTGAGCTGTTAAAAGATTTGTCCCAGATACACTCTGCCAGTGCTCCTTGTGCTTTTTCAGTAATTATTTTCTTCTTCGCGTTTTTTCCCGAACAGCTGCGAGCCTTGACCCAAGTTCTGCGCTTGCCAATAGAAGTGATCCAGGCCAACTCGGCGACTATAAAAATTGGGGAGGAATTTGCTAGTGAACCCATCACCCTTGTGTACGTTGTGTATATGTTGTTATGTCTCTTAGGGCTTAAAATTATATTAGTATAATTGTTAAATATAACTTAAATTTGTAGAAAGATTTGTATATGAAGCTGAAAACATTATATTTATAATAGACATCAGGGTTGAAAAGCTGCGGTGGCAAATCAGCCAGAGCATTTATTGCAGTTTTTTGCCTTCTGCCATTTTGAATATAAACTGTAATTATGTAAAATACGCATTTATGAAAGGCTCAACATACAAATGTCTCCTCTCATAGAGCAGGTCGTTGCTCTCACCAGTTAAGATCAGTGATATTCAAAACATGTACTATACTTGTTCATGAAGGACATAATAAGTGTGGCTCCTCATGTAATAACATGTAAATGTTAAGAAATTGATATCACACAATAAAGCAGCTGTAGATAAACTGTACATAAACTATATTAAGTGATTAATATTAAGTTCTAAATATATTTTTGTTGTCATTCTTCGCAGCTATATGCGTCATGCCTATGGACTAGGAGAACACTATAATTCTGTGGAGCAGCTAAAGGACCCAGTTAATGCAGAGGACAGCTGAGAGACGCCTCCATCTTGCTGTGACATAATCCAGTGTGTGTAACGCAGCGAGTGTTCAAACCACTCACACCAAGGGCCCCTAAATACAAATATATTTAGGGAGACCCCTCCCCCCATTGAAGACATTGAGGTGGCAATCAGGAATGCTGCATTAAACGCAATAGTGGTTTTCTGTTTAGAAGTCAAAAGCTGTCGGTGGGGAAAGTGAAATCTAATAAAACTGAGAACAGAATGCTAATAAAAAGTATCAGAGAAAGGAAATTAAATGTGCTAATGATTTTACACCGCACTCTATTGGTCTGTCCCAATGACCACAGGGTTCTCCTTAGCTCATTCTGAGTAGCAATGGTGTAACACATGTTTTATCCAAATCCTCTGGGGCAGGATGTAACAGCTTTTGATCATGCATGCCACTCAACCAAATGTCAGCACTGAGGGGTTGTTGGACGTTTGCACTGTTGAACTGAATTGTTGAACTTGTAAATCATATCAGTGTTACATAAACACATACAATACTAATAAGGTATGTCAGTGCTTTCTTTTTAATATGTCTGATGAGGAAAATGGTATTTATTGATTTTTAAATTAATACTGTTCTCAGCATGATGCTGTGAAAGATTTCACACCATTTATTTGATCATCACCTTAAGAGGGACACACGCACATCAAATTCATTATTTGCAGGTGTTTAGCAACAAATACCTGTACAAAAAAATGAAGAAATACCTGCACACTACTGTCTCACTCGGTCCCAGTTCTGTTATTCTACACAAACATGACATTTTTCACAAATGGTCTCTCTCTGTTAACTCAGTTAATAAAAATCCTTTTGAACCACTTTTGAAACCATCATTTTCCAACTGCCTGCTACCTCTATACTCTATATATAATGATGTCCACACTTCCTATGCAGGTGCATTGGAGCAAAATGCCCCTGCACTCAGACCTTCTCAGTGACACTATTGTTTCTCATTACATGCATGCATATTCCAATCCATACAGATAACATTGTTTTTGTCAATTGCTGCCGAGCAAAAGTGCAGCACTATCAAAAAAAACCAAAAAAAACCAATTTACATTTATATAATAGGATACAAATAATAAATAGCTCTTACACTATACCAACAGTATATAAAGTACAACAAACCAGCACCTCGACCACCTACATCAAAACTCCTAATGCATCAGTAATAATCATTCCTAAAGGAGCCATCCTGCATAATGAGTACTTTCACTGTATGTGCATTTTGCAGATAACACCTCTGTGCTTTTATTTGTAATAGAGTTCTGTATTGAGGTATTTCTCCTTTTACCAAAGTAAAGGATCTAAGTAGTTCTTCCACAACAGGAAACTCCTATACACTAAGAATTGGACATTAACATTTATCAACAAACCGAAGCACGTGGAAACAACATGCTATAGCCAGATGTCACCACTAGAGGCCGCTAGCACCTCCTGGGCAAGTCAACCAGCGTCCTGTCGCCATGGAAACTTGAACGCGAGTGCTCGACTTTGGTTTTTGCAAAAAAATGTCTGAGTCAGTGGTCAGAGCTTTATACGGTAGAGGGACTTCTTTAACTTTGGCCTCGAAGAAAATAAAAGAGGTTCCCAAGTGTGTCTCCAGATTAACAAACCTGTCGGTTCTCCTGCTGAACAACAACTCCATCAGCGCCCTGCCCGCCGAGCTGCTCTCCCTGCAACACGTGAGTCTCCTCCGGGTTGTTCGCTCCGAGCTCATCTGTTCGCTGGAGCCTTTCCAAAATAACTCTTTAAATGTTTCACACCACACCACGCAGATTTGTGATTAAATATTTCTCCTTGTGAAATGCCTGCAAGCTGGCTGAGCTGAATTTGGGAAATAATGCCTTGAAGGAGGTTCCCGCTGTTTTGGGCCATCTGGAGTCCTTGAAGAAGCTGTATCTATTCAGTAACCAAATTACAGTCGTGCCACCTGAGGTGATAGGTAAGATCTCACCGTTCTGCATGATTAGCACCCCCCAACCCCTCCCTAAAAACAAAAACCCTAAAATGAACCCATTTATTGTCATATTTATGTTTTACAGGTGGCTTACAAAACCTTGTTGTCCTCAATCTGAATCACAATCAGATTCAAAGACTTCCACCAGAGATTAAAAGGTACATTTATCTCCATACCTGCCTTTAATATTTGTACATGTGGGGTTGCAGCAGGTATATTTATATCATGATATACCAAGGTATGACAATTGACAGTTATCATACCGAGTACATTTACTTATCTGCTGTATTTAATTCTTAGTCTTGGTATTTAATTCTTAGTCTTGGTACAAAGACTAATACAGAATGTTACAAATGTTTTCATTCCTTTAAGGCTTATTGTAACTGATGATCACAATAATTTTGTAATACCCTGTACCATTATATATAATTATCAAACTGTGAAAATCTCATACCGTTGCAACCCTATGTGTAAGGCTGAATCCTCTCTGTGGTTGGCTGATAAACTTATTTTCATCGCTCTCTCTGTGGTCAAGAAAAATGTATTTCTATGTTAAAAACACAGATGCAAACCTTTCTTTGTCATCAGTTTGAGTAGGCTTCAACGTCTCAGTGTGCTGGACAATAAGCTGGAGGAGGTTCCTGTTGAGTTGGGCCATCTCACGAGTTTGTCTGAGATAAACTTGACTTCCAATCATTTGTCTTGGCTACCTCAGCAGCTGTACCAGTGTAAAGAACTAACCAAGTTGTATGTAGCCAGAAACAAGCTGACCAGCCTTCCAGAGGTGGGTATTCATTCATTTGATGTGATTTAAATATATATAATATATATATATATATAAAATTTAAATAAAGAAAACTCTCAACACATTTGACATTTTTTTCCAAGTTTTTTTCATGTTTAACTCAAAATTTCAGTTTATATTTAAATAAAGTAGCTTTTGGGATATTAAGCGACATCCACATATTAAGTTCCAACTTCAGCCTTACCTTTTTACTGTGCGATGTGGCAGCTACATAACACTTGCCTTACATTTCACCCAGGGAATTGGGACACTGGCCAAACTCCAAGTTCTGGATGTAGCTGGGAACAAGCTGTCCATGTTCCCTGTTGAGGTACATTGTACAGTATAATTCAGCTGCACAATGCTGTGACATAGTCTAAATCTAAAAATATGGAACTACAACATCACTGTATGACAGGCCATTGCTCTGTGTAGTTTCACCTGCTGCCCCTGAAGGAGGTCTATTGTGAAGGCAATAGGTTTGTGCGCTGTGAGCCAATGGTGTCAGTGCAGGATGTGGAGGTGCTTTCATTAAAGGTAAAGTGAACAACAACACTTACCATTTTTATCATCCACTGTGTAAGATATCTCACAGTATGGCTTTGTGTTTACTCATTAACATTAGATTTGTGTGTTTGCACCTCATTATTCTTGTTTCATCTTTGTTTCCAAGGAACTGGTTGCCAGATTTGTCTTGCGGGAGGACAGGAACAGGTCCTCTCTGGTCCACAGGATGCTTCCCCACTATCCGTTCCTGACTGCCCTGTTGGCCAATGGCAGCCGTTGTGCGCTCTGCCTGGGCCCCTTCCTCACCACCTGGCTGGAGTGTGTGCATTTCATCAGACTGAAGGTGTGAAAATATTTTCTTAAAGAATATGATTCTATGGCACCTGCTAAAGCATTGATGGCTGCATCAGTGATACTGCATTTTAATAGGATATGATGTGTAGTGGCTAATGAAATATGCGTTTTCATGTTTATATGTGTTACAGGATGTAAAAGTGAGGAGTTCGCTGACTGTTCCAGTGCGGGCCCTTCTTTGTTCATACAAGTGCTTTAATGCGGATGGACACTCCTACTATGGTGTTGCTAAAAGATAAATACAAGTTTATTAAAAAGGTACTTTCCATGATCTCAATCACTATCACATTGTTTGTTTACCTTAAACTGTGGACACAGACACAGACACAAGAGACAGTGCATTTCTGTCAGTAGTTACTTATGTTAAAGTATAATTATATGGTGCAGTGGTGAAAAGTAACTAAGTACATTTACTGGCATTTTAATGTATACTTCCACTTTCAGAGAGAAATATTGTACGTTTTACTCCACTACATTCATTTGAACAAATGAATGGTCTTAATATAATTACCAATTAAAGGTCCAGCGTGTAACATTTAGGAGGATCTATTGGCAGAAATTGAGTATGATATTCATAGGTATGTTTTCATTAGTGTATAATCACCTGAATCATTGTGTTTTTGTTACCTTAGAATGATTGTTTCAATCAATATCTACAGACGCTGTGGGTCACCTTCCTTGGAGTCGGCCATGTTAAACCGCCATGTTTCTACAGTATCCCAGAATGGACAAACCAAACACCGGGCTGTAGATAGGGGCTTTCAGGTTTTTCACGTTTTTTGTGAATTTGTAGTCACTGTAGGTTCTCCAACACATTTCACAACCCATTCTCATTCTCAGGTTGTCCTCCCAGACGCAAGCGATGTTCAGTTAGTTGCAGTCTGCAACTTCATTGCTAGATGCCACTAAATCCTTCACACTGGTCCTTTAGAATAGAAAACGTGATCAGTTTATAAAATACATTACATTTGTTTGTTTGCAGCTACACCAAATGATGTGAGTGATTTCTACTCTAAACATGGTTAAACTACAAAACTGTATGTAAACCAGTCAAATTTTGTTCCAATGACAACAGTATTAACAATATATAATATATGTAATTTATAATAATGTATCAGTCACAGGGCAAAACAAGTACTTTTACTTTGATACTTAACTTAGTCAATTTAGTTAGTAATACCCCTGCACTCTTATTTAAATAGGATTTTGAATGAAAAACTTTATATGTAATATATGTAGTATTTTCAAAAGGTGGTATCACTTTAGTTAAGTGAAGGATCTGAATTCTTTTTCCATCACTGATTTCTAGTATATGAGGTTTTTGTCCATCGAACATCTCACAGATGTCATTTGACTCCGTGGACACTAGATGGCATCAAATGAACATTGAAAATTGTCGGTCTAGTTGGACCCAGTTTTACTGTAATGTTTAATGCAGACTTCAGTTGGTAGCCTGTAGAGTATATTTATGCTGTGTGCCAATAATAACATTGCAACAGCTGTATACAAGCAAGTACATGGTGACTTTGCTTACTACAGAGTACTTGTGTACTACTACTACTACAAGCCTATGAATACCTAAATTAAATATAGCTGTTTTTCTCACATTGGTCGGTCAGTTCATGTATGTAATATACTGTATAATTGGAAACCCTGCGGATACTTTCACCATGTGTTCAATAAAAAGCCTAAATGGAAGTACAAACATTAGCAATAGTAGTTCAATTTTGTATTGTGTGTCATACTGACAGGTGTTTGTATTGTTTTGTCCACCTCATGTATATCAAAAAGAGTAGCCTAAATAACAAACACCCGTCTGTGTAATGCTATTCTGTTGAGCAATAACAAACTACGTCCTCCAATAGTTTTAACAGAAAAACATATTTTATTATAGGACTGTTGTATTAGACTGCTTTAGTTGTAGCTAAGCATACCTAATAAACTGGCAGTATATAGTAAAGTCAGACATTGCTGACAGATGTCTAATTCTAATAATACCTAAATGAAAGATTTACTAGAATATATCACCTGACTCACATATTTGGCTGTGTAAATCTAGTGAAATCCTATTCCCCTGTCAGTGCTGTTCAAGCTGTACTGACTCCATAGCTGCCCCATCTCTATCTCCATCTCCAGCCAGTGGCATCTGTTCCAACCTGCCAGACAAGAGAGAGATAGAGAGAGAGGGAGGGAGAGGCAGAGAACTTCATTTCTAGCAAATTAATTTCCCATCCACGCCTCCAGAGCTCGGTAGCTCGTTCACTAGCTGCTGCGGCCGCTGCTGCGTGTGTCTACTGAGTCGGAGCCTCATGCATAAGGCATCAGGTTTAATTGCAAACCCAGAAACTAATGACTTTGGACTGGTTAACAGCAGGGGAGCCATACATCTCGAGCAAACTGAATGAAAAATCAGCTCAGAGGAGAGAAAAAAAGGAGCCTAGCCCCTAATTGATGAATAATTGAAGCGGCAAGCTACAGGGCATAATTGTGACATTTTGTTTCAATCAATTTCCAAGTGGTGTGGGCGAAAGTGCACTTAAAGGGAAAAGGCAATGACAAAGAATGAGAAAGAAAGAGAGAGATAGAGAGAGAGTGGTTGGTGATGGAAATGGACATTGGGTCTTCAGTCATTGCAGTGACATTTGCTGGGGCCAGACTCATTCAAACACAAAATTACTTTTTTCTCAATCTCCATCATACTTGGTAGGTTTTCTGTCAAACTTCTGTTATGTTACTGTTAGTTTTTTCACTCCCAGCCAATGGATCCATATCCCTTTAAAACGATTTCTTTTGTTTATTTTCACTTGCCTTATTTTTCTGTTTTACAAAGTAAAGTAATTAAAGTAAATTATAACTCTACTGTCCATGTAATAATAATTAACATAATAAGCTGTATTATTTAGGGCCTTTCCAAAACAAGGTTGACAAGGTGTTTTACAGGGGCAAAAGAACGAATGAGGAATGATCAGTGTTAACAGTAAGATCAATAACACCATGGATAAAACAATATAAAGTAATAATTGAGAGCGCAGAAAAACTAAAGTGAGGCTGCCATCTGTTTAAGCGGTTGTGTTTGTGTTTTCAGCAAACCCTGAATTCCTTTTCCAGTCAGCTTTGTTAGTTACTGTCTGTAAGTATGAGGGCATCGGGCCAAATCAGCCAGTGTGGTGGAACTAAACACCACACCAGTCTGTCTTGGCCTCATTGGCGTGGAGTGGACAGAGCCTGGGGATCAGGCAGACAAAGAGAAGCAGCCAGGGGGGCACGAGGGCACATTACCATCTGAGCTTGTCAATTTGCACTACTTGGGATGAATCTTGGTTTAATTTTCTTCTTAAGATTCAATAAATTATCACTATACTATAATGCATGTTTGCAACACACATGAATGCTCCACCTAAAAACAGAAATTATTTCATGTCATTAATATTACGTCTAACATACAGAATCATCACTCTTATCTAACAATACTTAAAGAGACAGTTTAGCATTTTTCTCTTTTTCACTTTTTTTGCAGAGAATTGGATGAGAAGATTGATACCACTCGTGTATTTTTAATGTTCGAAGCTAGGGTCAATAGCCAGTTAGCCTAGCTTAGCACGAGTGGAAATAGGAGAAAAACGAGGGACAACAGCTAACTTTAGAGGTTGCTCAAATGTATTAATTAGGGAGCTTTGGTACTGTGGATTTTGTTGTACCACACACAGAGCCAAGCTTCAAGTTTCTCCCCCTGTTTCTAGTCTTTATGCTAAGCTAAGCTAATTGACTGCTGGCAGAGGCTTCATAGTTACTGTACAGACAGGATAGTGATATCGACCTTCTCACCTAACTCTTGATAAGAAAGCAAGATAGCGTATTTCCTAAAAACAGCTCCTTTAGTGAAACTTGCATAAGGCAGGATATTTGGAACCCATTTGCCCATTAAGTCCAACTCTGGTTTATTATAAATACACGGCACTTCACAGGCAAATTTTGCCTGGTTATATCACTGCAGACTTTGCTCTCCTGCCACCGGCACTGGAAGAGAGCTGTATGTTCACACATTTACATTCAACCTTTTTAAAGACTTAATTACCATTACTAAGATTACACAGACACTATTTTGTTCTAGGGTGAATTATGCCATAAATTATATTTCATTTCACAAATTTTTAAACTAGATTTACATAAAGACCTCACAATGGAAATTAAAAAATAGTTTTAAGCGTTGTATATGAATGTGGCTAATAAATAGGTCATTCCGCTGGCACCATATTGATGGGTGAAAGGACAACAGTATGTGCCTTCTTGAAGGCAGCAGATGTTGGGTCCTGAAGCAGTAGAGCAGCAGCAACAGCAGCAGCAGCGCCACTAGCTCAGCGGCCTCGGGACTTGTGTGTTAGTCGGTCTGGTGTCTGGTGTCTGGTGTCAAGCTTTATGCACGTATCCACGCATACACATACGCCTTTCTAACACACTGAAGAAAAGCAAATACAATCACTCCACCCACTCTGCATTGATGACACATCATCAAGATAATTTTGCCCCCATCGCTTTGTTTTCATCATGTCGCTTCAGAAAACACATAGTCGCACCCCCACATGTGCGCAGACACACTTTTTACATATCACTGAGCTGTCCCTTATGATTGCCATTTTCAGAGAGCCCTGTGTTTTTGCACAGAATAATTCTAAAAATGACGCACAGCTTGATTGACGTGTATGGAAATGAGGAGGTTGCATCCTCAAAGGAGACACCATACGGATGGGAGCAGCACACTGACGAGAGGCATCTACAAAAGGCGCTTGTAAATTCCTGACATGCCTAGCATATGTTAATGAGCCATTCTCTCGCTCTGATATAATTACTACGAGGGGATATTGCCTTTGGTGGAAATATCTGTCTCGCGTGGCATGGCTACCTCATGGGGGTGAAAAAAGTAAAGAATGATAAAGTAGCGGGTGCATAAATTCTCATTTACCATGCTTGGAGGTAAAGAGACTGATGTTGGCAAATTCACTCAGGATGATATATTGGGGAGAAGGCACCTGGGGTTCATTACATACCTCCTTTGTTAAAGCTCTTTCTGCAGTCTTATATCGTTTGTTAGGGGATATTTAGTCTGTCTTGTCATTTGGAGCACTTACTTAGGATGTCTTTAGAGGAGCCTATGGCTGCCTGAGCTCACGTTGCATCTTGGGGCTGAAAAGGCAAGTGATACTTTATCTGAAAACAGAATGAAGGATACTGGATGGAAGGTTTTATTGTAATGGAGATAATCAAAATTGGTGTGTTTGCTGCTGAAGGTCAAACACAGCTTTGTCCGTTTCTTTGATTTTATGCTCCATTCTCAATATTATCAAGTCATAGTGTTACATGTTAAGGCTTAATCATTGGCACGGTCATCTATGGTTGCATATGAATTCACACCTTTTTCTTTAATAGTCTTACGCTTAAAAAAGTATGTGCAACTAGTTCCAGTAACAAACTCTGTTCAGCATGATATCCCCACTGCACCACTATATGCAGCATGTTTAGTCATTTTCACAGATCCATCAAAGCCATGATTGCGGTCTTCACCTCAGAAAGATGATTTGACACCGGCTCACCCTGATTCCTCTTCTTTCCTCGGGGCAACATCCGAGGTGCTATTAAAATGAGTAGCATTGATTGCTGAATTAGGGGCCTTGTGACTGGAGAGGGAGAAAAACAGCCATTCGATAGCGAGCGGTAGGCCAGTGTCATAGCCAGGAGTGTGCACCACTCCAATCAGTAGAATCTATTGTTGTGCATCGCTGCCCATGACAGATCTTGGTATCGAGCCACTGGCAGAGTACCAGGGTATTGTCTGGTTGACGGCTGCAC